TTTTGTTGGACGGTCCAGAGTGAGTTGCTGGACGGTTGCGGTTCATTCTCCAAGTTGTCGAAGTGAACTCCGTGTTGGTCTTTATTTGGCGGAGACAGTACGGAAAGTCTCATCATGCTTTTCAGGAGCGCTCGAATTGCTTCCAGTATTCAGCGTTTCTCCGCCACCTATCTTTACCTTCTTGGTGGAGGTTTAATCGAGTGTCTGGAAGAGGAACAGAGGCTGATATGTTGAGGCTCTTGGTTAGCCTCAACCAGTTCATGTCCTCCATGAACTCATGTCCACTAGGAACCTTCACTCCTTGATGGAGACGAAGCTTGTTGCTTGCCCGCCTCGTTACCTGTTCAAACGAAAACAACGTAACAGGAGAAGACTGCAGCTAGTGTCGCGACCACCAGCGCAAGTATAAATAGTTACGGTGCTCCTGTGACTTCACATTGTCGCGCGACAGGTCGGGAACGGCGAGTATACCGAGCGCATGACTCGTGTGCAGTGCATTGCTGGGGGAGGGGACCGGAAATACGCATTGCCGCGAAATACGACGACTGTAAAAACGTTGCACAACAGAAATTGAAAAAAAAATCGTTTAATTGAGCAGCCTTACAGGATACCCAAGATCAAAAGCCTCTGAACTAAAATGCTTCTTGCCAAATGGCCATGAAAAAAAAAAGCTACATATTAAAGATGCATATTAATGCAAGGGTTTTCTTCACACTAAACACATTGATGAACAGTACCTGGGCCTATCACAATCTGTGACACAAGGGCAAAATCATCTCCACAGCATATTTGGCTTCACATTTAGATATGACAATACATTGGTCATCTCTTGTGCTTTTTTAAACACCTGCATTTCTCACAATTACAGAAACTCCAAACTGAAAATACAAAAACTACTTTCTCCTTTAGAAGTACAACATTTAAGTCACTTCTGGTGAAACTGCCTCCAAACTCTTGACTTGAAACTCAAAAATCGGATGCCTCGTGCCTCACAGGAATGATCAAAGAAAAAAATAAAACGTATTAATGCAAAATGTAAATGTACAATCAAACAAACATCAGATCATGCACTCAGTCAGACAACACCTGGAGGTGGTTTGACAAAATGAAGCCATAGATTGTCCAAGTTTCTGTCCAGAAGAACCTCACTAATGACTGAGGGTACAGTCTGTTTTTTACACGCATGGTTCAGTTGGGTATGAGTCTCATCTGTGCTCATCTACCCCACAGACAACTATATCATTACATTGTTTTTCAGTCGTTGCACCTTTGGTGGCAGGTTTCCAGCATCCACTTCAACGAGCATCTTTTGAAATACTTCAAAAATGTATTTCAGAGTTTTGGGGTGTTTGAGGTCCAAGGCATAAATTAGTCCAAGCAAGTAGCAGCAGGCTCTGCTGAGATCCCCAAGGTGGTTGAGTACGATGGAAGCCTCAATGACGATCCCTACATCTTCATTACGCACAAGGTACAGAGCCATCGTCTCTGCTGCCAGCTCTTCTTCCACATTGACGGCTGAATCATCAAGATTCTGTAGACATTGTAAAGGAGATTGGTTATAGCAGGCAGGATGTCACCAAAATAAAACAAATAAAAAAACTAACTCCATAAATCAGCTATACAAACATCATGTTGTAAGTTGTCTCTTATTTTAACTAGCATATATGACACATTTGAATGATGTGAACAGACACATGCAAATAACAACAATAATAACAATAATAATACTGACTTCACCACTAATGAAGGTATCCGTGCATATTCTCATTCATCCAGGTCATAACTGGACTTAGCCATATGTCTGTTGGTGCCATAATGTAGTGGGGGGCCATAAACTAGGTGGGGCATTATGATAGCAAACAGCATACAGGTAAGACACAGGTGATGAGCAGCAGGTGTATGAGAGGGGAAGCAAATAGTTCTTTGATCGTCAGTGTGGCAGTGTTTTTTAACCAATACAAACTATTGAAATGAAACATTATCTGTGAAGATAATCTCTGCAGGTAACATCTGTTGTTAAGTGGCACTATAGAAATAAAATTGATTTGAACGTCACGCCAATATGGAATTACTTTAAATTTAGATAATATTTGGTGCATTAGGTTTGCAAACTCCAAACTGATTTGGATATAAGCTACAAGACTAATGTTGCAGTCTTTCCAATAGACACAAAAAGTCAAAGTGCCAATCAATAGTTGTTATAGCTGACTATGGATTCAGCAGAAACACTTTTACAGATTACTGTAGGGAGAATACTGAAAGTCATCTATTGCACTCACCTCAAACTCCTTGATTAAGGCACCCACATCCTCGCCGAGGTGATCAATGAGACATCGGATGACAACTTCTCTGGTTTTCTCTGTTGGAATTCCACTCTGTTAAGGAGAAAATGGATTTAAACAGCTGACAAGATTCAGCAGTCCCTCTCCTCAGTGCACATTTTGGCCCTTTTACTTTTAATATTATAACAGATTTGACTACAGTGAAAAAATGAAACAACATTTAGTGAAGCAGTTGGTAAAACATTGCAGTTTCTATTAAAATTCATTAAATCATTCAGCCCTTATCTGGAGTGATCACTGCAACCTTGAAGTCATGTTTGCCATGTGATATATTCTTTAAAAGTCTACTCAGAATATACTAAAAACTCAGAAAATGTCCACGACCAAAATGTTTCAGTCGATAGTGTTTAAGAAGAAGAAGATATACTTTATTGTATATTATTATATTTATATTATTATATATGAAGTTTGATGAAGCCACAAATGTGCAGAGCTTACACTGCCATTCATACACTTTTACCTCACTGTGGGTTAAATGGGCTGCACAAGTGGCTCACAGGGCGGAGGTTATGCTGTGAGGCTCTTTTTCCCTTGGTGATCTGGGTTCAACTGTGGCCTGCTGCCCTTTGCTGCTCGTCCTCCCTATATCTTTCTCCTTTACACGTGCATTCCTGTGGCTCCCACACTCATTCTGTAACATAGGGACAACATTTTCAAAACCAGAGCACAATAAAAACCTCTGCTGCCACAGCAAGTTAAGAAGCTATAGTCAATATTCCCACAATAAATGTGGAATAAATGTAGGGAATGCTTTGCTAATATTAAACAGAAACAACTTACCTCCTCTCTTTTCTTCATCAGTTGTTTCCCATGCTGAAAAGCACATTTTGAAAATATATTGAATGCATGATAAAACCGTCAAGCTTATGGTCACTATGAATTGCATGCTTTTATATCTCGCTGAACACAAACCAGGCTTAGCTTGAATAATTCATTCTTTAGTTGATATGGTCTTTTTTCCTGTGAACTTTTAAAATAAGGCTACTAGAGATACACGCACTCTGTCGCTCCAGTGAGTGAGACAGAGCCCAGCCTGACACGTTCAGGTACATCAGGTACAACTTATTTTTCACATTTCCTTGCTCGTGTTTAATCTCAATTACTCACAACTCAATTTGTATCGTATTCTTTACACCTTAGAAATATTGTTGACCTTCCATGCGTGCCGATAAAGCATATGACATTAAAAACAGAAAGAGACGAGAGCCGAGACGCTTCACAGCAGTCGGAGGGAGGAGGTCGTGTTCCCGCCACATCCTCACACAGTCCGCACTAGCTGGGAGAATTCACACATTGTTTCACATTTCGGATAGTTTGCGTTTACAAAGCGAAGCCACCAAAACAGGCACGGAAACGGTGTGCCTCTTCGACCGAGACCACCTGGTCCAGGTGGACTAGAGTCCGGTGTTTCGGTTTAACTGGTGACCGTGTTAACGGGTGACTTTCTCACATTTTAAGATGTTACGAGAGGTTAATACGTCTTCTGAACACAACTGAACTTACATAAATGGTTAGATACTTAGATATTAAAGACAGATGATAAATGATTAAACTATAAAGTCTTTTTAGGAGAACGCCTCCGTGAAGTCACCAGTTAACACGGTCACCAGTTAAACCGAAACAGCGGCAGTTCGCTCCCTGCGAGAGGACTCGGTCGACGTTTAGCGCCAAAAGGCAGCCAGCCCGTGCAGAGCCAGCCTGAATCCACTGAAATGATCACTTTAAATTACATATGTCCTCCCGCTGTATCCTGTTGAGGTTTTAACGCGGTCTAGAGTCTCAACGGGCCTGCAAAGTAAAACCCGACTCGACCCGCGGGTGCTAAAGCCCGGACCCGACGCGGTCTGACTCTCTAGCACTCAGTCACAGCCCGCACCCGGCCAAAGCCCCGACTCTAACCCGCGGGTCGGGTCCAGTTGGGTCGGGTCCAGTTGGCGCCTTGAGTCCTCTAACGCGGTCTGAAACCTGCAAAGCGAGTCCGTGAAGCATCTTTGATATGGTTATAAATGGGTGCTATGGCTAACTTGGCAGGGCGAAAGGTTTTAGGTTTTATTCCCAAACCTGCCTCCACCTTAAAATGTGCAACAACATGTTGCAGTTACACACATTAAATGTTCGAGCTACACGATGTGTCAAAGAAGCCTAAGACTCACTTCAGATAGTGTAACGCCTAAGTTAGGTCTCAAATAAAATGGAGTTGAATTCTGTTATAATTGCACTTATTAAAACTAATTGCTGCTCGTAGTGTATTCTCAAAAATGTTGTTGAAACATACAGTGGTTATTACAAATATTTAAACCATGTAATCTGTCAGTCAAATTATAATTTATTTCAAAGAAATAAACTTAATTTACATGTGTATATTTCACACAAAGGTTCCTGTTTGAGTTCTACTAATGAATTTTGATGTAGTCAAATCAAATACTCATCATAATGATATTCAGCAGTTTTATCGAGCATGCATATCTCTATATTACTGTCACATTTACTGGGGCCTTGAATTATTTGTTAGAGTGTATGAAAAGATATTTGATGTACCCTCTGGCATTTAATGACATTTATGATTGCAGAGATTGTTAAATACATTTATGTGTTGACATAATGATATTGTATTAGCTATTAGTATTTATTTATTTTGTTTTTTATTATTTAGGTTCTACCTTATCTCAGATCTCAGGAATGTTTTTTGTAAATGTATTTATTCTATTTATTGACTTTTTGTTTTTGTATCTGTGAAACAGCTCATATGTACTGTGTTATGTGTTAGTGTTTGACATCATTTGTAAATTGAATATTTAAATAAAGTTAATACTAAAAAACAACAACAACTCCTGAGTGTTACAATGAAAAGGCAGATGAACTTCAGCGCCCCCTGCTGGTACTGAAGTAATGCTGGCGGCGCGGACGTTACTGAGTGGCAGAATAAAATGAGACTATTGGACTTTTTACTGCACTACATTTATCTGACAGCTGCAGTTACTCTAAAAGAGTTCAAATGATCTCCACCTCGACTTCTACAACAATAAAATACTTGTTACACATGAATGCATCAGTAGTAACAATCCAATGCTATCTTATATAACAGTGTAACACTCACAGGGGACACTTCTTCATTATTAGTACTTTACTTTTGATACTTTAGGGACATTTTCAATGTGATGGGGTATTTTTATATTACAGTACTGCTACGTTTACTGAAGGAAATGATCTGAATACTTCCTCCACCTCTGCACACTGGGAGTCACCAGCAGGTTGATTTCTTTCAAACTTTATTGAACAAGAACAACAGACAGAAAGCATACACCATGGTGACATCACAGTGACATCACAGTGACATCACGACATCAGGACAAGAATATTAAAGAAAACAGAATAAAGTAGATAAATTGAAGGTTTTACAAACTTTCTGGTTCTTAGAGTAGAAAATAGTTTTAATGTTCAGTCAAAGACTGTTTGTGATTGGAAGATTTATGAATATGTGTTTTTGCCAACAATAAAATCAAATGAATAATATAGAAGTCATTAGCTTCAGCAGAGGAATAATCAGTAAAAGCAAACATGTTGATAAGAAAGGGAACATTCAGAGTCAACATGTTGAGTAATAAATACGCTGACATCAGGACAAAGTGACAGAAATCTTCAGTTCACTAAAACAACAACTAACATCAACGTCCTGTTTATATTTCTGCACAAACACTTTGGGAGGAAAATGAACTCAAATTGAAATTTTACACAAATAATGACACAA